CCTCTTGTCATTCATAATCGGTTATTAAAAAATTTATTTCGTGTTCGCTTCTTCAAATTTGTAATTCATACCACCGTATTATTTTCTTTTCGAAGCGAAATTTCCAACTTTGGAAATTGAATTGGAGGCGAAAGCGAAAATTCCATCGGCTCGATCGGCGCAATCGAGGGATACGCGCGAGTTGCTCCAATCCATTAAACGCGATTGTGCGCGGGAAACGAGGCGAAGCCGCGGCGCGGAATTTGTTTAATTTATATTTAAACGGCTCGCAGCTGTACACCGGTTGGATCAATGGCTGCGTTGAACAGAGAAGACGCAATTGGATGGGCAAAACGGTGTCATGACACGCGTCACTATCTTGGAGAGGTCAGTTGCGTTTATAACCGATCCATCGTAACAGAAATAGCGACATCGGCTGGTTATAGAGGCTGCTCGATTCTTTTCCTCCTCGCGTGCCTACGCTCCGTCGCGCCTATTCTCCGACGCGTACGGAACGAATGGAGTTGTATATTTTCCTCTCCTCGACGAGGAGATACGCACGATCGGGGCAGAATTAACGATCGCGTCGAATCGAATTAGAATTCGCTCGAATTCGTGAGATTATTTTGTCGTTAAGATTCGCAACTTATCTCGAGGAAAATTATTTGGGATTGTTGAAACGAGCGTGTGAAATTATTATCGTTATCTCCTCTTTTCTATTTTCCTTCACAATACAAAGAGCAGCGATCGTCAAGACGCAAAAAAAAAAACGTTTATCGATAATGATGGCACGCGTAAATTTAATTTTTGTCGTTGTCAGTGATGATTATTCAATACTCGAACGAAGCTCGAATCAAAATGGGTCAAAGTTTTGAAAAGTTTTCGTTTTCATTCGCAAAAAATCTGGCGAGAAGGAAAAAAATTAAAAGAGGGAATGAAAAATTGCGAACGAACAGTTGGATAAAAGTGCAATTTACATTCATTCGACTACTGGAAAGTGGAACGAATTGATAGTCGATTGGATATTTCTTGAGAAACTCAAACTTCCTTCCCCTCCACTCAACTACTCGTATTAATTAAATCCCCCCGCCTGCGAAACCAAAAGTTCCTCCTCCTTGTGTCGTTAAACACACTCGTTCCATTCGTCCGACGGATCATATTCTTCCAATCCGTTAATAATCGTCGGCCTTGGTCGATTTGTCAGTCGAGCAAATTCTTGCCTCGCCTGTTACAACTTACTCGTCGGAGGGAATCGGAAACAAATAGAGGAGAGAGAAGGTGTGCTCTGTATCCGTTGTTTCTTAAAGTGAAGGCACAAGGAAAGATTGATCGAACAAAGCGGCGCATTACCGGCGCGCCACACAGCCCCCTTTTGTTCGTTGATCAAAGTGGAGCACGTATCCTTGCCCCACTACCGTGTGTGACAAAGAAACCGTCCAAGTCGTCGCTTTGAAACAAAGTTGGTGGAAACATACACACGTCTCCCGTCCACGAAACGTTATCATTCGAGACGACGTCGGAGGCGGACTTGATCGATAACCCTCTTCCTTCGCTTTTGTGGAGCAACGAAAAAAAAAAAAAAAGAAAAAAAGAAATCGCAACTCTCCAAAGCAGCCTTATTTTGGCTCGATCGGTTATTCGTCCATCCCACTCGTCCATCATCCATCGAAGATCCGATCTCGATTTCCGTTTGTGGGAGTAGAATTCCATCTTCCGAGAAAGAGGATGCTCGGTGGTGAGAAATAATAGGGGAGGGATGAAAGAGATATCTTTTTTGTCGATTCGGCAGAGGAGGAGGAGTGGCTCGTTTTATTTCCACGCTTGGATGATGCTCGCGGGGACGAAAATAAGAGGCTCTCCGACACGATAAGGACGAGTTTAATCCGGGAAACGATAGAGACTTTGAGAAAGTGACTCGGAAGGATAAGAGATTGTGCGGTGTCTCTTTCTTTTTTCTCCATCTTCTTTTCTCCGCAATTGGCAAAGCAGGGAATATTTTTCAGGGATCGGAACGAACGTTTTCTTTTCGTTATAATATGCGTATAATTATATCGGAATGAATCTTTCGATGAAAATATTTCTATCTAACGGTACGTGCGAAAACGTGTTGAAAAACGCGATTGGCTTCTCATCGCGAAACTTCGCGACGTTAGACGACGTTCCTTTCCCACAATTGCAATTATATCGCTCGTTTAGTCGATAGATCAGTTTATCGACAATCACGTTTTGCGGTGAAAGTATTCGAACGTGTGTGTGTGTGTGGATAACGTAACGAAATTCGTAGACACTTTGACTGTTGTTAGTTATTAATAATAACTGGACGGCACGAGTAAGATGGTTTAGTTAGTTGGAAAGAAATCACGATTCAATTCTTCGCTCTTCTCTCGTCTCTTCATTTGTCGAAGCAGCATCGATTTCTTTTCCTCGAGCGAAAATTATGAATCGATAAGAATAGCTGGAACAAAAATGTGAAACAATCTATATATCCAAGATCTATTCGTCGCAAAAACTCGTCAACAAACTTTTTCTTCATTTCGCGTTATCCATTCATCGGATGGATCTTTCGAGTCAAAAATTTATCGGGTAATATTGATTTTCGCGAGGAGGAGGATCGGGCGGAAAGTGAATTTTCGCCGACTTTTCGGCGAGAGGAGCATCGAAGGGCCCACTTGGCCCTACTTGATCTCTCGACTGTTATATAATAGATCGATAAAACTTTGGTCGAACGCGGATGGGGGGGAGGGAAGAGTCGGCCACTTGCAAGCTGTGCACGGGGCGCAAGATTTGATCCCGTGGAATGGAGCAGTCACGCAATCTCATCTCATGGAAAACCACTTTAGGGGAAAGTTGGAGGGGGAGGGGAGGGCCCTTCTCCCCTTCTCTCGAAGCTCGAAGGTTAAACACTCGATAGATTTTCCATCGAGAGCTCCCCTCGATCGATCCCCCTCGACGTTATGAAACCGCTTGCCGCTCTATTTTTGCGGTTCAACATTATCGATGCTCGGTTTAAGTTGATTAACCCTTTTCCCCCGTTCCCCACCCTTTTAATCGATCGATTGTCGATAAATTATACGGGAACGGGAATAACGAGAGAAAAATTTATAGTCGTTTATAGACCATGCCGAGCGATGCATCCGGATAGATTCGCGATGAGAAGAGATCTTTGGACAAATCGATACGCGATTGAAGCGATTTGCTACTACGGTTTTTTTCTTTGAAATGATTCTTTCAATCTAACTTCTAAGAATAACTTCGAGATTCGTTGAAATCGATTCGATCGATCGATCGATTTCAACGATTTAAATATTATTGTAGAAGGTTAAGAGAAAAAGGAAAATAAGAATTTTGTTACTCGTCTATTACTCGTTTTATGGTACACTTTATTTCATATCGTTTGGAATTATATTAATAGATCGATAAAATGGGGACAGAATTAGGATGTGTCTGGAGGTAGGAATCGCGTAGGAATGCATAAATATTTCCATAGTGATCCATGGACGAAATCCTGTGAACACAACTGTAACAATAAGCCTTTCGCATAAACGCGTGCTTTCCCTCGGGCTATGTAATTCGAGAAGAGAAACAAGTTGCAACGCAGTTCTAGCAATACCCGATGGACCAAACTTCAGTCGACAACAATAGGAATCGGTGAAATTGCCCTTGCGAAAATGCCAACGTATTCACCACTTTTGCTCTTTGAACTATTTTTCCTCGGTGCACGTGTTTTTCCCTCTTCCTCTTTCTGTTTTTTTTTTTTATCCCCTTTCGTTTTAGACGCTTTTAAAAAGATATTCTACGTTTTAAGGGAGCAGGGAAAGTATATTTGAAAGTAAATACTCGGAACGATTACTTTCTCGAGAAACTATTTCTCGAGAGAAATGAATATTGCGTCGAGAATAATTGTTCGACGAATGACTTGATCTCGTATCCCTTTTCCCCCCTTTTTTTTCAAAAGTGAAATAGTCATCATTTAATGAAAAATTTTTGAACCGTTGAAAAATCGACAATAACTAATTATTCGAAAATAAATTTCGAACATTTTATTTTCAAATATATATTCCCGACACTCGAGTTAACTTTCAAATCACGTATCACGTTTCAAAAATGGATCTATTCGGGTCGAAGCGTGTCTGACTAGCCGTATACTCTATCTACTGCACAATTTATTCGATATCGTGATTAATTCCGTTGAAAAATAGAAAAGAAAAACTTCTCATCGAGTTTATCAAGTTAATTTCCTTTATGAAACATTTAGAAAGTATAATTCGTATATTAACCTTGTGCAAAGTTACTACTGTGTGTAAACTATGTGTGCAATGTAACGTAAAAATCTACCTGATCGATTTTGATATTCTATTAAAAGAGAAGAAAAAAAAAAAAAAGAAAATGGAATCATAAACAAAGGAAATATGATATTAAAAATTTGCGTGTAATATTTATAGGTAACGAGATATATCGATGGTATATTGTGAATTATAAAAGTTAGAACAAGGGGATAGAAACTTTAGACGATGAATTACGAGGCTGTATAATACACTCAGCGTGGCAGGGTTTACCAGTTGCGAGTTATGTTATAGCTCTAAGTGGACCTAGACGAGGTTCTACCCTTGATCTAAAAAAACTCACGTGGCGGCGCTACATTAAATAACCAAGACTGTTCGATTTCTATTTTCCTTCTACGCGTCAGGAATTATAATATCAATCCGATCCGTTACACAAACTCTCTCGCGATTATTAATATTTGAAATAAGTGTACACGAGTCAATAATAACGAATATAACGAAATAATATTATCATCAGGGGTGTATTCACCCCTAACATTGGAATATCCTTTTCCCTTTCCTCTTTTCCCCTTAAATTTTTCCCAATTACAATTACTTGAAAGGTATATTCGAAGTAACTGTTATAATATCGCTGAACGAAAAATCAATTCCATTCTTCTCGATTCCTCTCCAATCTCCTATATATATATAAAAATAATAAAAATTTAAACTAACCAACGAGGACGATTTCTGTTTCAGGATCGCGAGTTCGTGGAGATGGAGGTGCCCTACAACGGTGCCCCGAAGAGGCCGGGCTCTCCCTCGCCCCTCACTTCTCCCGCGCACAGCACTGCCTCGAGGGGCGGCCTGCTGCACGCCTGCTGCGGCCGCTGCTACCCCCAACGTTACCAGGTACGCGGTCGCCGTATTCTCGCCTCGACGACCTCCATAAGCGAGGGCCCACCCTCGTCTTCCTCCCACTCTCACCAATCGCAGCCGGCGCAGTCCCATTATCAGCCGGTTGACCCAACCACGGTGCCGAACGTCGCGTTTAACGTGCCCGGTGACAGTGATCGGCAACGTCGCCAGGGCACCAGCTCCTCCAGCCCCTACAACGAGACAAGGGTGTGAGCCGGGCTCGGGACAGCGATTCTCAATCGAAGGAATTCGTTCGTTCCCCTTCAGCCCCTTTGAGATTGCAACCGCCACCACAACCACCACCACCACCACCACCACGATCCCGTACCCTGCACCCTCGTTTCTCTCGCGGTGAGTTTGTGTCGGTGTTGTTGCGGCAGCTTCGTCTTTCAAGAATTTATTTTGGACGAGGTGATTATTGGATGGATCGATCGGTGGGTGGATCAGGTTTCGATGCATTTGGAGAGGTTTGAATTTTCGTTTTTTTTTTTTTTTTGGTGGGAGATATATGTTTATGTATATTATAGTGTCTTCGTTGGCGCACTCGATCTCGAGGCGACAACAAGGGTTACGAGGATCGGTGGAAAGACTGAACGTTCCATATCTTGGAGGGATTTGAAACTGACTGACTCTACAAGGCGCTAATTTCGATTTTCGATCCGACACGAGTAAACGTACGACTCGTTGCCTCGATCAGTTTCGAATGATTCTTGGCCGATAATAATAACGAAGCTCAAACTCGGAACCTCGATCTTCGATCTTATCCCCGATCGAACGACTCGAGCAGAGGATGAGAGTCGGGTTCAGAAATCAAAAAAAAAAAAAAAATAACGTTTGTGTTCCGATCCAGGGCGAAATGTCCTCGAAAAGAGACTGGATCAATCGCGGATCCTGACGATCGTTTTCACGATTTTTAAGATTATTACGAGTCGCTTGGAGATTAATTGCCGGGATTCGATCGGGTTTCAAAACCATCCCCTTCTCGATTCCAACAACAACAACCCGGATGCATACATTGTATTGTACGTATACATGAAGTTAGTGCATTACGTAACGGATCATCCTATCAAAGGTGTGCGCGACAACGAAATATCGTCGACATCGAATCCCGGTTGTTAAGCACGACTCTCCACGGAGAGAGTCTCTCCCACAAGCACTGCCAACGAGGGTTCGAATTTCGAACCGTGTGCTCTCTCTCTTTTCCTCCCCTATTCTCGCTAATTCATCATCATCATCATCATCATCATCATCCCCCATCCGCGCACGGATTATTCGGCGCGTATTTGATAACGGTTAAAATAAATCTGTGTCGTTTCGAACACTGAGGGGGGGGGGGAGGAGGGCTTGTCGAAGATTCCTCCTCTCGCGCACAGATTCTCCCTCTCCCGAGAAAGAAGAGATCCGCCTCGAATACGATCTTCATATGGCCGCGTTTCCTTCGAGACGATCGGTTTTATCGGTTTCTCGTTTACCAACGATCGGTAAAACGAGAAACTCTTCGAATGGACGACAACCGCTTTTCCACGTCGTCGTCATGGTGGTGGTCTTCTAGGAGTGATGGATATAGAAGGATTAAATGAAAAGGATAGAACGCACGCGGCGCGTTCTTGGAACTCTTCCAAAAATCCGCTCGTAACGTGTCGAAACTGTTTCGAAAAAGGGGAGGGAGAAGGGAAAGGAAGCGTTTCGAAGATGGGTTTGGATTTCCGATTTTTCAATCTTTTTCTCTTCCTCGATGGGAATCGAATCGTGTATGTCCGCGCTGGAATCGAAAGAAAGGAGAGAATCTGCGCGATGGCGGGATCTTTCGAGGCATTCCTTTGTGATACGTTTCTTCTGTGATTGCTATTGATACATTTTTCGAGAGCGGCCGTTGTTTTCCGCTCCTTCCCTCAATCGTGTTCCACTCCTCAGTCGGATATCATATCAGGTTAAGATTTCATCCCTCCTCTTTCTCGAACACCATTCGAGGCTCTGATCATTTCGTAGAATTATAACGATTATCACTAGATCACTATTGGTTATCGGCCTCTCCCAACGATTCTAATTGAAAATTATGCTCTAGCCTTAATCCACTCTCTTATTCGGTGGCGAATAATTCTAAATCGATGTCGTAGCGAATAGTATCGAGGAGAGGGGGAAAGGTTCGCCGTGTTTGTCCCGTTGCTGGATAATTTTGAATCGACGAGCATGGCGCGCCCCCTCCCTTAATCGAAATCACTAGATCTCTCTTAGAGAATCTCGTAGATCGAGAGAACCTTCCTCTAGGAATTACCTCTTTCAGTCGAGCGGCCTTTTCACGAATCTCACTCTCTCTCTCTCTC